GGAGCAGGAGGAGACCTCACTGGGCTGCTTGCTCGGGCCGCCGGCGCGGAACGCCACCCGCGCGGAAGGGAGGGGGCACTTGACGCACGGCCTTACGCGGGCAGTTTGCGCGCGAATGTCCGCGCAGCGGGCCCCCGATTAGACGTCGGCCAGATGCAGGGGAACGCACAAAGACATAAGCATAAAAACTCGGAGGTCCACGGTGATTTCTCGGATCCGCGCTGGACCACCCTCCCTGGCGCGCGGAGCGCGCCAGGGGCGGCGCCAGAGGTGCCGCCAGGGGGCCCCAGCGCCGATCCGAGAAATCCGAGCGGATCTCCGAGTTTTTATGTTTATGCCATTCTTCGTTCCCCTAAGATGGGCTCGGAGGATCGCACCGTGTCGCCGATGCATCGGCGACATGTGATCTCAGGGAAGTCCGAGGAGCATGGGTGCGCAGGGAGTGGCGGACTCCAGAGCACGGCGCCACTCCGAAGGGCAGGCTGCCGCACTCAGGTCGCCATCGTGCGGAAGGTGGAGGAGGAGGAGGAGGTGGAGGGAGGAGGAGGCGGAGGAGGAGGAGGAGGGTGGACAGCATCAGGGCTTCAGTTCGCGCCGCATCGCCGCGATGCATCGGCGGCGCGGCGCGACATTCCAGCCCCACCTGCCCCGGCCCCAAGTGGGAGGCCTGGCTGGCGGCGGTGGGGTGTCCTGCGATCCCTCACGCCAGTGAAGGCAAGAAGCTCAATAGTCGAAGTCGTCCATGCCGCCCATGCCGCCCATACCGCCCATGCCGCCCATGCCGCCGCCGGCACCAGCGTCCTTCTTCTTCTCGGGAATCTCTGCGATGAGCGCCTCCGTCGTTGTCATCAGGGATGCCACGGACGCCGCGTCGGCCAGCGCGGTTCGTACCACGAGCGTTGGGTCGATGATGCCCGCCTGGATCATGTTCACGTACTCGCCCGTCTGCGCGTTGTAGCCCAAGCTCCCATCTGACTGCCCTGGGGGAGGAACAAACTGCGTATCTAACCACAAGCTGTCCGAGATCCGCGCGGGTTCCTTGGATCTGCCATGACCCCCCAGAGCGCGCCAGGGGCGGCGTCGGAGGCACTGCAGATCCGAGGAATCCGCGCGGAACTCCGAAAGCGCATGCTCATGCAATTGTTCTTCTTCGATGTCCGAGCAGGTGCTCCACCACCACGATGCCCTCCTTCCCTGCGTTCTTGACGATGGTGGTGATCGGCATCCTCAGGGCCTGCTTCACGATGTCCCTGCCGACGTTCTGGTCGAAGTTGGCCATCTCCGCGCCGTCGAGCGCCCTGGACGCGTACAGCAGCGCGGTGCCTCCTCCGGGCACGATGCCCTCCTCGACGGCTGCCCTCGTGGCGTTGAGCGCGTCGTTCAGACGGTCCTTCACCTCCTGCACCTCCACCTCCGAGGCGCCGCCCACCTTGATCACCGCCACGCCGCCCGAAAGCTTGGCGAGCCGCTCCCGGAGCTTGTCCCGCTCGTACTCCGACGCGGTGCTCTCCACGGCCGCCTGGATCTGCTCGCAGCGCTCCCTGATGGCCTCCTGACCTCCCGCGCCGTCGAGGACCACCGTGTCGTCCTTCGTGATCGTGACCGTCTTCGCGGTGCCCAGCACGCTGGGGTCGAACGTCTCGTCCAGCTTGCGGCCGAGCTCCTCGCTGATCATCTCGGCGCCGGACAGCACGGCGAGGTCCTGCAGCATGGCCTTGCGGTGGTCGCCGAACCCGGGGGCCTTGACCGCCGCCACCTGCAGGCCGCCCCGCAGTTTGTTGACCACCATCGTCGCGAGCGCCTCCCCGTCGACGTCCTCCGCCACGATGACCAGCGGGCGCTGCGCCTTCGCCACGTGCTCGAGCACGGGCAAGATGCTCTGCACCGAGGATATCTTCTTGTCGAACAGCAGGATGAGCGGATCCGTGAAGACGCACTTCTGCGCTTTGGTGTCGGTGACAAAGTGCGGGGAGATGTACCCGCGGTCGAACTTCATCCCCTCCACTACCTCGAGCTCGTGGTCCATGGTCTTGCCCTCCGCGACCGTGATGGTGCCATCCTTGCCGACCTTCTCGAAAGCTTCGGCAACCATGCGCCCGATGACAGCATCGCCGTTGGCAGAGATCGTCGCGACCTGCTGGATCTCCTCCGGCTTCGAAATGTCCGTCCTGCGCTTCTCCAGATCCTCGATCACGAGCTTCACGGAGGCGTCGATACCCCGCTTCAGGTCCATCGGGTTCATGCCCGCCACCACGGCCTTAGTGCCCTCCTGGAAAGAAGGGAGAGGGTGGAGGGAGGAGAAGGAGGAAGGGAGGGAGGGAGTGGGCAGAGAGGAGAAGGAGGAAGGTAGGGATAGACTGGGGGAGAAAGAGCAGGAGGAGGACAAGGAGGGCTAGGGGCAGAAGCGGCCGAGTACGCGGTGCCCTCCTGGAAAATGGCGCGAGCGAGGACGGTCGACGTGGTGGTGCCGTCGCCGGCGATGTCGTTGGTCTTCGTCGCGACCTGCTTGATGAGCTGGGCGCCCACGTTCGCCACCTTGTCCCTGAACTCGATTGCCTTCGCGACGGTGACGCCGTCCTTCGTGACCTTGGGCGCCCCGAAGGACTGCTCGATGACCACGTTCCGGCCCTGTGGAGCTCCTCCTCCTCCTCCTCCTCCTCCTCCTCCTCCTCCTCCTCCTCCTCCTTCCTCCTCCCTCCTCCTCCTCCCTCCTCCCTCCTCCCTCCTGCCTCCTGCCTCCTCCCTCCTCCCTCCTCCCTCCCTCCCTCCTCCTCCCTCCTCCTCCTCCTCCTCCTCCTCCTCCTCCTCCTCCTCCTCCTCCTCCTCCTCCTCGAGCAGCGAGGGCATGCACAAAGACGCTCGGAGGCTCACGCTGAGCTCTTTCGCCTGCGCTGGAGCCCCCCCCCCTTGCCCTGGCACTCGAGGCGCGCCAGGGGCGGCGCCGGAGGCGCCGCCCAGGGGGGTCAGGAGGAGGAGGAGGAGGAGGAGGAGGAGGAGAGAAGGAGGAGGGAGGAGGGGAGGAGGAGGAGGAGGGAGGAGGAGGAGGAGGAGGAGGAGGAGAGGAGGAGGAGGAGGAGGAGGAGGAGGAGGGGGAGGAGGGAGGAGGAGGAGGAGGAGGCGGCGGAGGAGGAGAGGAGGAGGGAGGAGGAGGAGGAGGGAGGAGGAGGAGGAGGAGGAGGGAGGAGGAGGAGGAGGAGAGGGAGGAGGAGGAGAGGAGGAGGAGGAGGAGGAGGAGGCGAGGAGGAGGAGGAGGAGGAGGAGGAGGAGGAGGAGGAGGAGGAGGAGAGGGGAGGAGGAGGAGGTCAAGAAATGATGAGGGGGAGGCGGAGGAGGAGGAGAGGAGGAGGAGGAGGAGGAGGAGGAGGCGGAGGAGGGAGAGGGGGAGGAGGAGAGGGGGAGAGGAGGAGTGAGGAGGAGGAGGAGGAGGGAGGAGGAGGAGGAGGAGGAGGAGGAGGAGGAGGGAGGAGGAGGAGGAGGAGGAGGAGGAGGAGGAGTTGGAGGAGTTGGAGGAGTTGGAGGAGGAGGAGGAAGAAGGAGGAAGAAGGAGGAGGAGGAGGAGGAGGAAGGAGGAGGAGTTGGAGGAAGAGGAGGAGGTCCACGCCCGACCCAAGAACTCCGCGCCCAGACATGCGGCGCCCAGAGCTCTTCCGCACGCAGCGCCCCCTGCAGTACCGACCCTCTGCCCGGGGCCGCGGGCTTCCTCCGAAAAAGCCGTCCGCCGGGCCTCCTCCACGGCGCGAGCACGGCTGGGCACGGGCCTCCGACGAGCTGAGCTGTGCGCCGTGCCCTCCTAGAAAGGGGCCCTGGGCCACACAACCACACACACACACACACGCACACGCACACGCACACGAACGCACGCACGCACGCACGCACGCACGCACGCACGCACGCACGCGCGCGCGCGCGCACGCACGCACGCACGCACGCACGCACGCACGCACGCACGCACGCACGCACGCACGCACGCACGCACGCACGCACCCACACACACACACACAAAAGCAGGACTCCCCATATGTTCCCATACTTTCTGGGTTCCTGTCTCCCTCCCCCCCCACTTCCCCACAGTTTCCCGTATATCTTCCGGGGAATCGACGACTCACTGTGCCTCTGTGTGCGCTTTTCCCCCTCCCGACTCCCCTCCCCGGCCTTGGGCCCCAGCGTCACCGCCACCGCGTCCGCGAGCCGGTTGGCGCCCGCGAGCATCCCGGCGCGCGCCGCGTTGCCGTGGCGGATCTCCTTCGTGGCGAAGGCGCGGGAGGCCCCCGGGAGGCGCGGGGCCCGGCAGGCCCGCGGGGCGGGCAGGGCGCGCACGGTCAGGGGGCCAGGTGCGAGCCCTACCCCTCTACCCCCCACGAGTTCGGAGGGGGAGGGTGGGGTTCACTTTGTTCGGGAGCTCCTCCTCCTCCTCCTCCTCCTCCTCCTCCTCCTCCTATCCACCGCCCGCCGAGGCCGCCGAAACTCGCCCCCCCAGCCCGTGGCTGTGGACGACTCCCCGCCTCGGGCTCCTGCTCGGACGCCCGTAGCGGGTACAGTCGGGGCGTTGACCTAAGGAACCCTAAATGAGGAACGAGGCCCCTTCTTTCCAGAAGTGAAACTTCGACCTCCTGTCGAAAGCATACGGGAGACCTGAGGCAGGCTGTGAAACGCTTCAGGAGCGCGGAGCCCCTCCCCAACGAAAAAGGTTCCTTCTTCAGGGCCCCGACTGTACCCCCCACGAGTTCGGAGGGGGAGGGTGGGGTTCACTTCGTTCGGGAGCTCCCGAGAGAAGGGAACCCCACCCTCCCCCTCCGAACTCGTGGGGGGGGTAGGGGTAGGGTTCGCATCTGGCCCCCTAATGGTGGACAGCATGGCGGCGCTCGGAGGGGGGGGGGGGAGCACGAAAGCGCGCGGAGCACGATCCCAAAGGGCCTGAGCCAAAGTGGCTGACGGGGGGGGGGGGAGGGGAGAGGCAGAGCGAGGGAGCAAGAGGGGAAGGGGGAGGTGGAGGGAGGCAAGCTCGACGGTCGTGATGCCACGGGGCGGCGAACGGGAGACATGTGGAAGGGTAGATCCGCGCGGAGAGAAGAATAGAGAGGGATGGCGAGAGAAGACATTCAGACAGCGCCCGGCAGTCGAGGTGATGGACTTCATGATGCTAAAGCATACGGCTGGCTCACGTCGCGACGACTTGCGAGTTCGATTCTGGCGGCTCGTTCAGACTTGAACGATCGCGGCTCTCTAGTAGCGCGACTCGCCGGATATAGCGGCCGCTTTGGCGGCGTTCAACCTTGAACGCCAGCGCACTGGTCGCCGCCGCGCCAGCACGACACGAACCTACCGTACCACGACAGGCAAGAGGCACACACCATACGCCCCCCGAGCGCGTCGGCGGAGCTTTGTGCACGAGTTACCTCACGACCTCCTCCAGCTCCGCAGGCACAGGCACGCACAACGTGCGGACGTACTCGCTTTGCCCACTGCAGCCGTGGCCCGCCCACTCCCAGACGAGCGGAAAGTGAAGAGTGGATGCCACACGGGCCGAGGGTCGGGCGGGCACGCCAGCACGGCACTCAATTTCTTCGCTGGGCGCCGAAACGCGAGGCTGGAGGGCCGCACCCCAGAGGGACACGGAGGAGGATGATGAGAAACCCTGGGGTCCGGCGCTGCGAAACGAAACTCGCGCAAAATATAGACGAAAGCCCGAGACCCCCATCTTTCTGCGGCATCTCTCGAGCCGGATCGATCTGCGATGGCCCCGGCGCCCCAAGCGGGCAGAAACCGCCCGGCGTGACGCAAGCGGCGAGGCCCAGATCTCAGGCAAGGAGGCGGAGCACGGGTGCGCGCGGAGGGGCGACCTCCAGAGCGCGGCGCCACTCCGAGCGGCAGGCTGCCGCCCTCAGGTCGCCATCATGCGGAATGAGCATGAAAAGAATGAGGAAGAGACGGAGTGGCAACAGCAGCAGCAGCAGCAGCAGCAGCAGCAGCAGCAAAAGGAGGGGGGGGGAAAGAGGAGGAGGAGGAGGAGGAGGAGGAGGAGGAGGAGGAGGAGCAGGGAGGTGGAGGAGGAACTCGCTGGTATACACAAAGTGGTCGGGGAGGAGGAAGATGAGGAGGAGGAAGCGAAGGAGAGGAGGTGGACGGAGGAGAGATGAGGGAGGAGGATGAGGAGGAGGAGGAGGAGGAGGGGGAGGAGAGGAGAGGGAGGAGGAGGAAGGGAGGAGGAGGAGGAGGAGGAGGAGGAGGAGGGAGGAGGAGGAGGAGGGGAGGAAGGAGGAGGAGGAGGAAGAGGAAGCGATGACAAAGAGGAGGAGGAGGAGGAGAGGAGGAACAAGGAGGCAGGAGGAGGAGTTGGAAAGGAGAGGAGGAGGAGGAGGAGGAAAGGGCGCCCGATCGGATTCGCACGTGCCGTCAGGGTGGGCGCAGCGCTTTGACAGGCGCTGCCCGACGGGGGTGGCCAGGCCTCGAACTCCAACACGGGCACCTTCGAGCCGAAGAGCGCCTCCTTGTCGAAAAACGTGCTCCTGCCACATCGTAGTCGTCGTCGCCTTCCTCCTCCGCCTCTCCTCCTCCCCATCCTCCTCCTCTGCTTCCTCCCTTCTCCTCCTCCTCCTTTCCCTCCTCCTCCTCCTCCGTTCTCCTCCGCATCCTTCCTCTCCTCCCCTCCCCTCCTCCCTTCCTCATCCCCTCCCCTCCTCCTCTCTCTCCTCCGCCTCCCCCTCATCATTTCTTCGACCTCCTCCTCCTCCCTTCTCCTCCTCCCTCCTCCTCCTCCTCATCCGCCTCATCATCATCAACATCAGCAGCAGCAGCATCAGCATCCTCAGATCATCATATCCTCTCGTCTGCTCATCACCTCAACCATCACCATTATCATCACCACCACCACCTCATCACCATCCACCACCACATATCATCATCAGTCAGCAGCATCAGCATCAGCATCCTCATCATCAGCATCATCTCATGGCACCATCCTCACCATGTTATCCTCCGCCTCTCCTCCTCCTCCCCTCCTCTCTCATCCTCCTTCTCCTCCTCCCTCCTCTCCCCTTTCTCCTCCTCCTCTTCCTCCTCCTCTTCCTCCTCTTCCTCCTCCTCTTCCTCCTCTTCCTCCTCCTCCTCCTCCTCCCTCTCCTCTTCCTCTCCTCTGCTTTTCCCCACGGTCTGCTATGTCCTCTCAACAAACTCGGCGCGCTCTCCCATTTGGGCCTGTCCCCTTCCCCTACAATCTTCCAAATCCTCCTCCATCTCCTCCCTCCCTCCCTCCCTCCATTCCTGCTCGTGCTCGTGCTCCTGCTCCTGTTCCTGTTCCTGTTCCTGCTCCAACTCCTGCTCCTGCTCCTGCTCCTGCTCCTGCTACTGCTGCTGCTCCTGCTCCTGCTCCTGCCCTTGCTCCTGCTGCTGCTCCTGCTGCTGCTCCCGCTGCTGCTCCTGCTGCTGCTCTTGCTGCTGCTGCTCCTCCTCCTCTTCCTCCTCCTCCACCTCCTCCTCCTCCTCTGCCTCCTCCTCTTCCTCGTCCTTCCTCCTCCTCCTCCTCTTCCTCTTCATCTTCCTACACCTACCCCCTCGTAACAGCCATACACATGAGAGGGCAGGCTCTCGTAGCACTGCGATGCCCTACCACCCCAGCGGCCAACGCCCCTCCTCCTCCTCCTCCTCCTCCTCCTCCTCCTCCTCCTCCTCCTCCTCCTCCTCTTCTGGGGAGACCGACAGGTACCTATACCGCTACTCCCCAGACTTCTCCCGGGTGCTATCTGACCAGGATTTCGAGGCGAATCCAGCGGTGGCGACGAGGAATGCCAAGGAGGCCCAAAAAGGGGAAAACGGGCGGAGGGTAGCGGTATGGATACCTTTTCTTCCTCTGATATTCCTCCTCCTCCTCCTCCGCAGCCTCGCCCGCCGCGGGCCGCGCGCGCCCCGCGCCACGCCCCCGCCTGCAGCCCGGCCCCGCGGCCGCCAGTTGAGCCCAGCCAGCCGAGCCGCAGCCGAGCCGCAGCTGAGCCGCGGCCGAGCCGCGGCCGAGCCGCCCGTTGAGCCGACCCGAGCCCGTTGAGCCGAGCCGAGCTGCAGCCGAGCCGCCCGTTGAGCCGACCCGAGCCCATTGAGCCGAGGCAGCTCGGGGTGGCTCGTCGCGGCGCGGCGGCGCGCCTGGGCTGCCGCGCGCAGCCTGGCGCTGCAGCGCGCAGCCACCTGGCGCTCGCGGGCGCGCGCCAGCGTTGCCGACGGCGTGTCCTCAGGGAGGAGCGCTGCGATGTTCAATCGATCTGCGCGCGTCATTTGTGCAACATGGAACTCACGCCGTTCGAACAGAACCCCTGCGCCGCTCATGGGATGACATACACCAGGCTGGTCTTACGATGAGGCTGGTCCTTAAGAACAACCGTCGAAAGAACAGCTGTCGTAATAACAGCCCACCTTATCGTACGAACGACCCTCTCATGTCACTGAAAAGACCCACCCTTGTCGCACGAACGGCTCACGGAATCGTGACCCTGCGCAAGGGGGCCACTGCCGCGCCCCGGCGCCCAGGCGGCCCGAAGTCCCCGGCGCGAGCGCTGCCATTACCTCTCGGCCTGCTCGCGTTCGGCCCTGCGCGCGGCTTCGCGAGGCCTTCACGCCGCCACCCGGACCGCCGTCTTTTGGCCAGTCGCGGGGTGACGGACAGTCACGTCCAATCACCAGGGGGCGTCCTCCTCCTCCTCCTCATCTTCCTCCTCCTCCTCCTCCTCCTCCTTGCCGCTCCTCCTCTCTTGACATCCGCGTCCTCCCCATCGTCATCATAATCCTGCTTTCTTGACGCCCTCCTCCTCCTCCTCCTCCTCCTCCTCCTCCTCATCCTCATCCTCACCACCACCATCATCATAAGCATCAGCATCAACACCATCATCACTAGCATCAGCATCACCAGCATCAGCATCAGCCGCATCAGCATCATTAGCAGCATCATCATCACCATCGTCACCATCGTCACCATCATCATCATCATCATCATCATCATCATCATCATCATCAGCATCAGCATCAGCATCAGCATCAGCATCATCATCCTCAGCATCATCCATATCAGCATCATCATCAGCAGCATCAGCAACAGCATCACCATCATCATCAGCAGCACCAGCATCTTCACCATTCACCATCATCATTACCTTCACCATCATCACCATAATCCTCCTCTTCGCCACCATCATCATCAACAGCAGCATCATCATCTGCAGCTTCAT